ATTTACTCATGTTTTGATTACCTGAGGAATGCCCTACAAGGTTATCACTCTTGCTACCGTGTTCACACTGTTGATACAAATTGCTGACGCTTCAAATATTTTGTTGCAGGACTTTCCTTCCAACCTAATACTTGGGATAGAACCTTAAGTATATTATCCCTCTTCGTCATTTTGAAGTCCGCAGCGTTCAACGTAGCTTTATTCGAATCCTCCTCATAACATTTTTCATGGGACCGAAGAAAAAGACGTCCAATTCCTGAATCATTGACGTAGCACCGGCACGAATATTCTGTTCTTCAATTTTACTTCCTGTGAAGTGTTCGTCGAGCAATGAACCGCGATGAGTGACTGTTTTGTCACCGGATGTAGAGAATCAGCATGTATAAGACGCGCAGTTTGCGAACAACATGTGTACTTCACGCATTTTTTAAAGTTTTTCCATCAATGTTGAGTTTTTTGCTAGCATCTGACTTATCTCTAGTATCTTTCCATTGCATGTTTCTTGGAGTTTGATATAAAACAGAGACACAATAAACAATTGACGTGCAGAACCACTTTCCCTGGACAGGGGTGACAAGTGAAAATGAAGACAAAAATAAGCCTAAACAAATGTCAGAAAAGATTTAGAGAGTCTTTAATGCAATTAAAAACACTTTGCAAAAATGCCGACGATGGCGGGGAGCAAACCCGTACCGTACGCCTATGAAGCGAGACTACTACCACTATGCCACGTCGGCACTTGATACTGAGGCGGCGAGTTCGCATATCCAAATAATGCTACTGTCAAGCAAATTCCAGCCCCATAATATGAATTAAGGAAAACCTTTTAGCAGTTTTAATCTCTACTTTCGTCGATAGCATTCAAAACTATCGATTTATCTGGATCTCCATTCAAAGTCCCACGGTAAGTAGACTACCCCTCCCTGATTAGTGCAAGCCCCGCCCACTTCAGGGACTTGGCGACTTTTCTTCCATTACTTCCAACCACGCTTCAACCGTATTCTAGAACGTGAACAGAAGTGTGAAGCTTCCATCTCAGCTCCGCCCACCTGGTGCAAACCACGCCCACTCTGGAGTTTTGATCACAGACCTTCGATAGCCTCCGGCCCCGCAGTTCCTAAATTCTGCAACATTTTTGAACAAGGCTATGAATTTTTGATCTTAGCCCCGCCCACCTCGGTGCTAACCACGCCCACTCTGGACTTTTCACTACAGATCTTTTATAGCTTTCTTCCCTTTTCCCGCGTTCACAGAGTTTTTGAACAGAATCATGAAATTTTGATCTTGGCTCCGCCCAACTTAATGCAAGCCCCTCTCGCTTTAGAAATCTGACAAGATCGATTGCAAATTCAGTCACAAGACGGCTTCAAAACTCTGGTTTAAAGGTGGTTAGAGGTGAGTGAGCATTGGCAAGTTCGATCGAACTAGGGAGACCCACCCCCCGATGGGCAGGGCGTTCTCCAAAAATGCAATGTTTTATGAAAAAATTTTGGAAAATCATAACTCCTGTCCCTGTGGACCCCAAAAGTTCAAAGTTGGAAGGAGTATAGGCGGTGGGATGGGAACACTTGCGGTGGGTGGCAGGACCAGACTGCGCCCACAGGAGGCGGGGTTTGAGCAGAAATTCATAGATCCGATAAAGGTCTATAATGAAAATCAGCTCATATAGCTCCGTCCCTCACGGCTAGAGCCCCTAGCGCACGCGATAGCGTGCGTTAGGGGCTCTAGCCGTGAGGGACGGAGCC